GTTCAGTTTTCGACTGCCATGGCCTCCGGCAACCCTCTGCCAGTGAAAACGGAGCTCCATTTTCATTGGCAGAGGGTTGCAGGAGGCCATGGCAGTCGAAAACTGAACTCACGAGCCCATTTTTGGTGGCCGAACACTCGGGCCACCATAGGTGCCCCCAACAAGAGTGATGTCGTGCTGGTCACCCCTACCCTGGCCATACCCATCCTGGGCCTCCAAGATCAAACACAACCCTCAATGAAATTGAGTTTGTCAGCCCTGATCTAGGTGAAGCCCACATTGCTCCGGAAGATCACAGATCATCTCACAGAGTCTTCTACAACCAGGGTTTCTTAATCTTGTTGAACCCGCAGGGTCCCCCAGGAACCCCCAGGATCCTTTGAGAATCTGATGAAACACAAAAAACCCTTCTCAGAAATATGTATTTAAATCCATAAAATAAAATGGTGATTCTCTTCCATCCAAGTTCAGGAACCACCAGAAATCTATCATAGTTTAGAATCGCGACTCTACGACAAGGACAGGATAGGATGCAACAGCATCAAGATGACATTTGGGAGCCAAGTTTGAAATAGACTTACTTCACATGTAAAGTAAATAATGAACAGTATCTTATGAAAATATTTCACATAGGAACTGGAATATTATTAAATCCAGCCTCTTAAGTTTATCTAGCTAACCCTGATAATGTATGTGGAATTGGCTCCCTATAAACAGGAATTTTAGAAAATGTTGGCCTATACAGTTGTAGCTGCTTTAAAAAAAATCACACACAAAGAGACATGGAAATAATGAAACACACGAAATAAGACTTTCAAGAAATAAAAAGAGAAGGCTGTGTAAATTTTGCAATGGGAAGAATCACAAAAATGTGCTCTACGTACACTACGACACGAATCCTTTGCATACTTCACTTAATACACTAAGCCATGGATCTCGTAGAAATTATGAACAAGTTTGCTTTTCACTGATGGGATAAAAGAAATATTCCTTTACTTATTTATTACCATTACTGGTATGGCTTAAAGGAATTGAAAGATGAAACAAAATGCCGCGGGAGACTTAGCAGCAAGCTGGTGTCCTTAGATTCAACAAAAACAACTATATCCTGTAGAGAGTGTGTGTATGAATATGTGTGCGCGCACAAACACACAAATGCATATCAAAGCTTGAGTCTTAGAAGCATGAGCTTTCGTAGAGATACTTTGAGTACAAATAACTTTCAATCTGATTGTAGAAATAGATGCTATCATGAAATGGGTACTTGAGAGACCGCCTGCTGCCAATTACCTCCCAAAGACCCATTAGATCGCACAGGGTTAGCCTCCTCGGGGTTCCGTCTACTAGCCAATGCCATCTGGCTACGACTCGGGGGAGGGCCTTCTCTGTGGCAGCTCCAGCCCTTTGGAACGAACTCCCCGCAGAGATTCGG